ACGCGCCTCTGCGCGGGTACCCGAGATACTCCTCGAAGACCGCCGAACTCGTGATCCGCGCGTTCGGGTCGGCCCCCACGGGCGAGGAGCGCCTCGACCAGCGGAATCCGCTCGCTCTCCGCCAGACCGCGGCCCCGACTCGCCGCGCCGTGCTTCTGGCTCCACTCGGCCAGCCAGAACATCATGTGTCCGGTCGCGGCGTGCAACGCGGTCACGCCCGACACCCGCGCGTTCGGGTCGGCGCCCGCCTCGAGCAGGAAGCGCGCGAACTCCGCCTGCCCGATGACGATGGCGTACGGCAGAACGTGCGCGCCGTCCGCACCGGCGGCGTTGATGTCGACACCGGCCGCCAGCAGCGTGCGGGCCATCTCGATGTCGCCGTTGCGGGCGGCGATCATCAGGAGCGTGAATCCCTTGGCGGTCGAGACGTCCAGGTCGGCGCCGTGCTCGATCAAGCGGTGGACGATGTCGGTGTGCCGCCCCGCAACCGCCCACATCAGCGCGGTGTTGTTCGTCGCGACCGTTGCGGCATTGACGTCGGCGCCGCGCGCCAGCAGCAGCCTGACGACCTCGACGTTGCCGGTCTCGACCGCGGTCATCAGCGGCGTCAAGCCGCTCGTCTGCGCCGCGTCAGGGTCGGCGCCGGCATTGAGCAAGCGTTCGACCATTTCCGGGCTGGCGTTCTCGCAGGCCCGCGCAAGTGCCGTCACGCCGTGGTCATCGGCGGCATTTACATGCGCGCCGGCCCTCAGCAGGAGGTCGACCGACTCGAGGTCGTTCCAATGCGCGGCGTAGACAAGGGCCGTCACGCCGTCCGCCCGTGCAGCGTTGGCGTCAACGCCTGCGTCGAGTAGCGCCCGGACGGCCGCCCGGTCCTGATCCGCTGCGGCTTCGACCAGCCGCACGCCGTCCTGCGCGGCGGCCGGAAGGGCCGCCAACGCCAGCATCACGGCGGCCGCCGCAGCCAGACGGCCTGTTCTCGAGGTCATCCCCGCTCTCCCCCGTCCATGCCACCTAGAAGTCGAATTGGAACGCGAACTTCGCCAACCGCCCCAGCATGATCACCTGCGGCGTCAACCAGGAGTTGCCGCACGGCCCGCCGGCGACGGACGCACACCCGGGATTCTCGCGGGTCACGGCATTCGCGTTGAAGAGGTTGAAGATATCGAACATCGTGCGCAGCCGCGTGCCGCCGGCGAAGGTGAAGATTTTCGTGAACCGCAGGTCGAGCTGCGAGTACCGCTCGCCGTATACCGTGCCCGGAGGGATGACGTTGACGGTTTGCGAGCCGAACACGGATGGGCGCCCGAGCGCCGCCGAGATTTCCGCGTCCGTGAAGGTGACATTTGCGAGACGTTCCGGCCCCTGCTGGTTCTGAAACGTCGCCGCGATTTGAATGTCGTACGGGAGCGTATACGAGGTCAGGAATTTGACCTGCGTCAACCAGGCCTGGTCGGTACTGCAGAAGTCGGGTGACGACTCACCGTCCAGGTTCTCCGGCAGCGCGGCCAGCTGTGCACACCGGTCTGTGGAAAAAGCCCCCGTGCTGACGCCTCCCTGAAAGAGCACGTCCCGGAGGCGGGCGTCCAGCGTGAAGTCGAAGCCCTGCCAGTTACGGCTCTCGCCGCCGAAGCTGCCGGCGCCTGTCGTCACCCGGTCGGGCAGTCGAATCGAATCGGGCTTCTTGTCGACGAGCGTGATCGGGGCGCCCGCGTTCGGGAGACGCGAGTCATTGGGGATGGTCAGCGTTGCCGTGTCGAAGTCCTCCGGACCCACGGCCCTGTCGTCCCGCGCCGCGAAGTTGACGTAGGCGCGCCGGAAGTAGCCGACGTCGAGCGACACCCCCGCCGCCAGCTCGCGCTGGATGCTGGCCGAGACCTCCCAGTTGGAGAGCCTGTTCCCCCATCCGTGGCTCCAGTCGCGATCGAAGACATCGGTGATGATCGGCCGGCCGAAGGCCCGGATTCGGGTTGGGGGTGAGCAACTCTCCGTTGGGCGCCGGGTTCAACGGATCCCCCTGGGGCAGGCCGTCTCCGGGAATGCAGTTCGCATCGACGCACCCTGTGATGCCGTCGTTCCAGCTTCTGGTCTGGCTCGTGTTCGTCTGCCCGGGATTGACGGCGCCCGACCAGTCCGTTCCGTCGCGCTGCCCCGCGCGGTTCGCCGACACCTTGAGCGCCGTGCGTCCATCGCCGGACAGGTCGTAGGCAAGCCCGAGCCGGGGCTGCAGGTCATGCCAGGCGACTGCCGTCTGTCCTTCGATGAAGAAATCCTGCGGGGCCCAGGCCGATGCCCTGAGGACCTGATCGGGATAGTCGGAGCTGAAGTAGTCATACCGCAGGCCGGCGTTGATGGTCAGGCGGTCGAGCGTCCACTGCTCCTGAGCGTAGATGCCGAGGCTCGGCCTGAGCCGGTTGGTCCCGACCCCCGGGGTCCGGAAGGTGGCGCGGATGGGGAAGCCGCGAAACGTGTTGAGGTTGGTCCAGTCGTTCTCGCTGCCGTTGAACGTGTTCTCCTGCAGGAAGAGTGCGCTCATGCCGAACTTCAGGTTGTGGCTGCCGGTCACATACGAAACGGAGCCGCGGACGAAATTGGTCATCTTGGGACTGCGCCGCTGGGTCGCACCGCTGAACCAGCCGGACATGTTGCGATGTGCGGTAACCGGCGCGAACTCGAGGATTCCGGGAAGGGTCGTAACCGCCGACGCGGTGGGCTGGAGCAGGTGCTGCACCGGCAGGTGAGATACTCCGGCGTCGAACAGTAGGCGGTTGGTCTGGGGACGCGTCCACGTTGCCTGATAGGTGTTCGTGCGCACCTTGACGTCCACGCCTGAGGATGGCGCGAGATAACAGCAGGAAAGCTGTCGCCCCGTGCCCCACCAGGGCTGGTTGGTCGCGCTATTCGTCCAGTACAGCTTGACCTTGTCCCTGCCGGTCGCCTGCCACGTCAGGTTGAGCGACTGTTCCCAGACCTCGGTAGCGTTGAGCGCCGGGTTGTCGAGGTCGGGCTGATAGACGAACGCCCCCGGATCGGTGTCGTGGAACACGCTGGCGGGGAACAGATTGCCCCGCTGCGTGGTGTGCGTCAGGAAGAACCAGAGACGATCCTGTACGAGCGGTCCGCCGAAGACCGGGTTGATCTGCCAGACCTGGTCGATGCGCGTGCCCCCGATGAGTCCACGCTCCGTCAGGTCGTCATCCACGTTGTCCGCGTTCAGCTCGGGCCAGGTGAAGGTCGTGAAGAAGTGACCGCTGAACTCGTTCGCGCCTTCGCGTGGAATCATGTTGATCCGCACGCCCCCCGTCTCGATATCCGCCGAGTTCCCCGAGTACTCGATCGACATCTCCTCGAAGTTCGAGTCGGGGAAGACGCTCCAGGCCGCTCCCTGCGTCAGCGAATCGCCGACGTCCATGCCGTTGATCTCCAGCTGCTGGTCGAGGTTGGAACCGCCGTGGATCGACATCTGCTGCAAGGTGGTCGGCGACACGCCGCCCATGTCCTGGCCGAGCGGCGTGAGAAACGATTCAGAGGACTCCATCCCGGGGACGAGCAGCGCATAGTTGAAGAACGACTTCCCGGTCGGGATGCTGTCGATGACCTCCCGGTCCATCACCTGCCGCTGCTCGACGTTCTGGATATCGACCACCGGGCTGTCCCCGGTGACCGTGACGGTCTCCTGGATGTCACCCACCGCGAGCTGGACGTCGATGCTGGCCGTGAAGCCGATGCTCAGCGCGATCCCCTCGCGGATCAGGGTGCTGAACCCCGGCAGGCTGTACGTCACCGAATAGCTGCCGGGCTCGAGGGCGACGATCAGGTACTGGCCGCTGCCATCGGTTACCGCGGTTCGAACCTGCTCGATGATGGCGGGGCTGCGCGCTTCGACGGTCACGCCCGGCAGCACGCCGCCCGTCTCATCGGTGACCGTGCCGCCGATCGCAGAACCCTGCGCGGCGGCCAGGGTGGGCGCGAGCAGCAGACACGCCACTGACGCACCGAGAACGAACGCACGAGCTGGGGCGGGTCCGCTGTAAAGATCGGCCATTGCTTTCTCCTTCCAATCTCGAAGGGCGATGCATTCCGCCGGAACTGCGTTGCCAGTAATTCACATATGCCCGATATGCCCGCTCCTCACGCCTTGTCAGGCAGGGGTCGTTCGCGTGGTGGCTGCGCGGAGCCAAACAGGTAGGCGGCCGCGGCAGGCGCCACGGCACCGTAAAAGGCAAGCGCCGTCGTCGTCCGCATTGCGACCTCCCGGCGTCAGGCCAATTGTATTCGCATCCGGCTTCGACCGTGCAGCCCCTGCCAGAGATCCTCCAATCGACCACCCGGGCGTCGATAGCGCCCCCCTGCTCGGGCGTCTGCGCGGTATCCTGTCTGCAAGCAAATGCAGTCGGCGCGGATCTTGGCTCGATCGCACACAGGGGCAATGCGCAGCTTGGTCTGGACACTCCTGGTCGCCCTGCTGGCGGGGACGGCGGGCGCCGCCGGGCAGGAGCCAGCCCGCGCCGCCGCGGATGCCGACCGCACGGCCGAGGTGCTCGCGCTGGAGCGCCTGATCGAGGCGGCAGTGCTGCGGGCCGACGTCGCCTTTCTCGACGGCGTCTGCGCGAGCGACTTCACCTACACCCACGGCGACGGCTGGACCACCGGCGGGGCCGTGCGCGGCGTCGACCACAGGGCGGAGTGGCTGGCGTCCCTGCCCGGCCGCTACAGCCAGCGCGCGGTCGATTCGCAGCAGGTCGAGATCCACGGCGACGTCGCCATCACGATGGGGCGCGTGCGGGCGCGCAGCGGTGGACCGGATGCCGCACAGCGTGCCTTCAGCTTCTGGTACGTCCGCGTGTACGCGCAGCGCGACGGCCAGTGGCAGTATCTGTCGCATCGGACGGTGCACGGTCCCGTGTATGAAGAGTGACACGGGCGTGGCCGCCGCGCGCGCTATACTGCAAAAGATGGCTATTGCCGTCAAAATCCGGCAACAAGGAGTCTCAAGATGACGACCTCGAATGATGGTCGGCCTGGTCGGGCTGGCCGCGGTCATGGCGGTTGCGACGCCGCTGCCGGCGTCCGCTGAAGCGGTTCCCGAGGAGCCGACGTTCAGCAAGGACATCGCGCCGATCCTGCAGCGGAGCTGTCAGAAGTGCCACCGGCCGGACGCGCTGGCGCCGATGTCTCTCATCTCGTACGACGAGGTGCGGCCCTGGGCGCGCTCCATCAAGAATCGGACCGGACTGCGCGACAAACCGGGCGTCATGCCGCCGTGGTACATCGAGCGGAACATCGGCATCCAGAAGTTCAAGGACGACTGGTCGCTGAGCGACGACGAGATTGCGACGATCGCGCGCTGGGTCGACCGCGGCGCGCCGCAAGGCGATCCGGCCGACATGCCGCCGCCGCAGCCGTTCATCGACGTCGACGATTGGGAGATCGGTGAACCCGACCTGGTCATCTCGTCGCCCCCCTTCGACATGAAGGGCGATGCGCCGGACTGGTGGGGCAGCCTGGGACAGTCGCCGACCGGCTTGACCGAAGACCGCTATGTGGCGGCAGTCGAGTACAAGGAGCGCAATGACCTGCCGCGCGGCGTGCGCTCCGACACCGTCGGCGGGCTGTTCGTGGTGCACCATTCGGCGCTCTACACCATGGTGGAGGATGACGATCCGGGCGCCGCCATGATCTGGCCCGTGCACGAGGTCGGCCGCAACGCGGACGTCTTCGACGCGGACGCCGGGCGGCTCCTCCGGGCCGAGTCCATGGTGCTGTTCCCCTCGACGCACCTCCATGCGAACGGCACCGATACCCGCGCGCAACTCGACGTCGCGTTCAAGTTCCATCCGAAGGGATACGAGCCGGAGAAGGAAATGCAACTGCTCTTCTTCGGCAACGGCCCGGATCTCGACATCCTCCCGATGGATGCCAACCAGCGGGCCGACGCCTATTACACGCTGCCGGAGAACGCGAAGATCAGTGTCTTCGAGCCGCACATGCACGCACCGGGCGTGCGGATGTGCATGGAGGCGGTCTGGGGCACGTCGGTCCAGACCATCAACTGCGCCGGCTACGACCACAACTGGGTGCGGGTCTACAAGTACGCGGACGACGCCGCGCCGCTGCTGCCGAAAGGAACGATCCTGCACCTGACCGGCTACTTCAACAACTCGCCGACCAATCCGAATGTGGTTGATCCGCGCAACTGGTCCGGCTCGGGCCACCGCTCGGTCGACAACATGTTCATCAACCTGATGCAGGCGCTCTACCTGGACGAGGAGGAGTTCGCCGCGGCGGTTGCCGAGCGCGAGGCGGCCATGGCGGCCAGCGGCAGTCCCGACATCGGTTGCCTGGTGTGCGGAGCCGCCGACGAGCCGGCGGGCGAAACAACCGCCGGGGGCGGCAACTGAGGGGCGCCATGTGCGGCACCGTCGTGCGACTCGGGATTGTAATCGCGGCGCTGGGGGCGCTCGCGATACCGTCGGCAGGGCTCGCCCAGCAGTCGTACGCGTCCGGGCAGACGATTGCGCCCGCCTACGAAGGCTGGGAGCAGAACGACGACGGCTCCTTCAACCTGGTGTTCGGCTACATGAACCGGAACTGGGAGGAAGTGATCGACGTGCCGGTCGGTCCCGGCAACAGCATCGAGCCGGGCGGGCCCGACCGGGGCAGCCGACCCACTTCTACCCGCGGCGCAACCGGTTCGTATTCCGCATCCGCGTGCCCGCCGACTTCGGCGACCAGGAGCTGGTCTGGACGCTGACGACCAACGGCCGGACCGAACACGCCTACGCCACGCTGAAACGCGACTACTACATCGACGATCTGGTGATCCAGGCCAACTACGGTGCGGGCGGCGGCGCGGGGACCACGCCTGAGCTTCCGGACAACCAGGCGCCGGCGCTGGATATCGAGGGCGGCGCCGAGCGCACGGCGCGCGCCGGCGGGCCGCTGGAGCTGGCGGCGGTCTCGACGGACGACGGCAAGCCGCGCGCGCGGTCGATGCCCGCGTCGAATCCGCGCCATCCGGGCCGTTTCACGACCGACACCGCCACCGGTCACCGCCTGTCATGGTTCGTCTACCGCGGCGCGGGCGAGGTGGTGTTCGATCCGCCGCAGACCAAGGTCTGGGAGGACACGCGGGATACGGGCGAGTCTCCGTGGTCGCCCGGCTGGACGACGCCCCCGGCTCCCCCGGATGGACGGTGGGTCGCCGCGGCCACGTTCGCGGAGCCCGGCTCCTACGTGCTGCGCGCCATCGCGCATGACGGCGCCCTGGCCACGGTGGCCGACGTAGCGGTCACCGTCACTCCCTGAGGCTCAGGCGCCTTCCAGCGCCAGGTCGCCGGGAGGCCTCCCGGCTCGCGTGGGCGGCGGAGCATCCGCAGGCCGTTGAAGGTGACCACCAGCGTGGCGCCCATATCGGCCGCCACCGCCATCCAGAGCGTCGCCGCGCCGAAGAACATGAAGGCCAGGAAGAGCGCCTTCGAGCCGAGCGCCAGGGTGACGTTCTCGATGATGAGGGACCTGGCCCGCCGGGCGTGGCCCACCAGGAACGGAATCTTCCGCATGTCGGCCCGCAGCAGCACGACGTCCGCCGATTCGACGGCGACATCCGTAGCGTTGCCGCCGAGGGCGATGCCGACCGACGCGGCCAGCAGCGCCTGGCTGTCGTTGATGCCGTCGCCGACCATGCCGATCGAGCCGTAGCGCGCGGACAGCTCGCGGACGGCTTCCGCCTTGTCCTCCGGCAGCAGCTCCGCCCGGACATCGGATACACCTACACGCCCGGCGACGTTGTTGGCGGTCTCGGTGTTGTCACCGGTGAGCAGGGCGGACCGCAGCCCGAGGGCGTGCAGCCGCAACACGCTCTCCGGCGCCTCGGTGCGGATCTGGTCGGTGATGGCGATGAGCGCCCAGACGTCGTCGCCTGCGCCGCAGACGACGACGGTCTCGCCCGGACGCTGCATGTCGGCCGGAACCTGCGCGAGCGGGCCGGCCCCGGTCTTCTCCCGGGCGAACCGCGTGCTGCCGACCCAGAAAGCCTTGGCCGTCCACCACCGCCTCGGCGCCGCGCCCCTCGACGGCCTGGAAGTCGGTCACCGCGGGCGGCTCGACGCCGCTCGCGCGGGCATAGCGGACGATGGCGCGGGAGAGCGGATGCTCGCTGCGCATCTCGACGGCCAGCAGCCGCGCCAGCACCTCGGATTCGCCCCGGCCACCGACCGGGCGCACCTCGCGGACGTCCGGCTCGCCCCTGGTGACGACACCGGTCTTGTCCAGCGCGACGGCGCGCAGGCGCGCCAGCCCTTCCAGGTGGGCGCCGCCCTTGATCAGCACCCCCTGCCGCGCCGCGGACGTGATGGCGGCGGCAATCGTCACCGGCGTCGAGATAACCAGCGCGCAGGGGCACGAAATCAGGAGGATGAGCATCCCCTGATAGAACCAGTGCTCCCAGCCGCCGCCCGCCGCCAGCGGCGGCACGACGGCGACGGCCGGCGGCTACCGCGAACATCAGCGGCGTGTAGTACAGCGCGAAGCGGTCGATGAAGCGCTCCGACGACGCGCGGTGGTGGTGGCTCTCCCCGACCATGCGGATGATGCGCGCGAGCGTCGTGTCCGAGGCGGGCCGCGTCGTCCGCAGCTCGATGACCCCGTGGCCGTTCACGGTCCCGGCGAACACCGAGTCGCCGGCGCTCTTCCAGGCCGGCACGGACTCGCCGGTGACCAGTGCCTGATCGACGTAGGAGTTGCCGTCCGTCACCTCGCCGTCGCACGGGATTCGCTCACCCGGACGCACGCGCACGCGCGAGCCGACCGCCACCGATCCACCGGTCGTCCGATGCTCATGGTCAGCCGTGCACCACCGACGCGCTCGCGGGCGAGATGCGCAGCAGCGAGCCGATCGCGCTGCGCGCCCGCTGGGCGCTCCAGTTCTCGACGAGGCCCGACAGTCCGTAGAGAAAGGCGAGCGTGCCGGCTTCCGCCCATTCCTCCAGGAAGACGGCGCCGATGACCGAAACCATCACCAGCGCGTTCATGTCCGGCCGCAGGCGCCGCAGCGACCCGACCGCCTTGGGCGCGGAATGGTAGAGGCCGGCGACGATGCCGAGGAGGAGCAGCGCGACTACGGGATAGTCGACCCCGTGCTCGCCGTGGCTGTGCGACAGCACGAGCTCCACGAAGCCGCCGCCGGCCACCACGACGTGGAGCAGCAGCCCACCGACAAGTGCGAGACCGCTCGCCGCCACCAGTGCGCGGCGGCCGTTCCGCTCCCACCACGACTCGACCTGGGCGGCCGCCTGCTTCAGCGGCTCGGCGCGCATCCCGAGACGTGCGACGGCCCTGGCTACCTGCGCGGGACCGAACGTGTCGGTGTCGGCATCCACGGTCATCCGGCCGTCGACGACGTGGAACGACACCCCGTAGACGCCCTCGCGGCCGGACAGCGCGCGCCGGATGAGCGACGCCTCTTCCGTACAGTCCAATCCCGCTACGCGGAATTCCTTTTGTTCTCGGATGGTTCAGCCCTCGTTACGGCGACGAACGACGTCACTGCTCCCGCTCTTCGGCGCGCGTACCGGCGAGGATGCCCTCGAGGCCGTAGTTCCCCTCGTGGCAGGCGTACTCGTAGGTCGGGTGGGCGAGAGCGCCATCGGCACCTCGGCGGTCCAGGGCCGCACGAACGTCCGGGGATCGGTCACGGTGAACCCGTAGAGGAGCGTGTCCGCAGCGGCGCGCGTGAAGCGCTCCACCAGGCGCAAGTCGCGCGTCACCCCTCTGAAGTTCGTCTCGTCCCGGAAGTTGGCGGTCTCGACGACCAGGGTGTCGCCGTCCCAGTAGCCGCGCGAGTTCCCGAGCCACTGCCGGATGCCGGCGTCGAGGTGATCCCGGCCGTCCAGCGGCACGACGCGGGCGTCGTGCACCATCTCGTTGAGGATCACGACGTGGTCCTCCGTCTGGAACATCTGGAAGACGTTGTTGTACGCGCTCGGCGCCATCGGCGGGCCGCTGTTGAATCCCACGAGGCAGCGCTCGGCCAGATTGCGGTCCTCCCACGAATCGGCGGGGTGGTCGCGCAGGTAGGCGCGGCGCGCCGCCATGCGCTCGCTCGCCGTGGGTGTCCGATCGGGGATTCTCCCGTTCGGCGGATCGATGACCAGCGAGGTGCGCCGGTCGGCCGAGACGTCCGACCCGAAGTCGAACCAGAACTCGTCGTAGGTGCCGGTGTTCCCGCCAACTCCCCGCTCGGAGAGCAGCTCCGTGAACTGCTCCGAGCGCGCGACGATATTCGCGACGTCCTCCTCGGTGAGCCTCTCCTGCCCGGCGAGTGCCGCCGGCCGTTCCATGGGCGTCAGCGTCGCGAAATTCCAGACGCCCTGCAGGTCGGGCTTGCCCCACGGCGTGCGCGGCACGTCGGCGGACTGGGCGAAAGCAGGCAGCGGCGCCAGCGCGACGGCGGCCGCCGCCGTAAGCAGCAATGCGAAAAATGCGTTTCTCATTTGAATCCTCCGTGGGCCGGCGTGATGCTGCGACAAAGTTGCCCGGCGCCGATTAGGTCAGTCTAACATCGGACCTGTCGGCTTGCTGTACCCCGTTCAGGTGATTGACCTGCGTCCGCATCGTGGGCGAATCTTTGCGGGAGGCGTACTATCGCACCCGTGCAGGCTGCCCCGTGCAGCGGCGCGTCGCACCGAAGGGAACACGATGCGGAACATGCCAGTTGCAATGACCACTATCGCCATCATCGCGGCGGCGATGCTGCCGGACGCGGCGGCGCCGGCCTGGGCGCAGGATGGAGCGGAGACCGAACGGTTCGACTGGCCGTCGCACAATCTCGACCTGTACGGCAGCCGCTACGCCGCGATCGACCAGATCGACACGTCCAACGCCGGGCGGCTGGAGCTCGCCTGGTCGGTCGAGATGGAACGGGAGCACGTCATCACGCAGGTCACGCCGATCGTCGTCGACGGCGTCCTGCACTTCAACGACGCGGCCGGCGCCGCCTTCGCGCTCGACGGAGCGACGGGCGAGCGGCTCTGGACGAGCGACTTCGATCCCGACTCGATCTCGAAGCGGGTCATCCGCCCGCGCGGCCCGGGTTACGGCGGCGGCCGGCTCTACCCCTTCTATGGCACGACGATCTTCTCCATCGACCCGGCGAGCGGCGAGCCCGACCCGGCGTTCGGCGACGGCGGGCGGATCGACATCGTGGCGGCCGCGCTGCACTACAAGGTACCCAGACGACTACCCGCCCGACCTCGATCCGGCTGCGCTCGGCCACCAGATGATGGCGCCGCCCGCGTACCACGACGGCACGCTGTACGCCGGCGTCGGACTCTCGGACCAGCACATCCCCGGCGGGCTCGTCATCGCGGCCGACGCCAGGACCGCGGAGATCCGCTGGGTCTTCAACACCATTCCGCAGCGGCCGTCCGACGAGGGCTACGACGTGGCGCGGCCGACCTGGGGCGACGGCCTGCGTGCCGGGGGCGGCGTCTGGACCGTGCCGGCGATCGACCCGGAGCTGGGTCTGGTCTACGTCAACGCCGGCAACCCGTCGGCCGACTACGACGGGTCGGGGCGGCCGGGGATGAACCTGTTCACCAACGCCACCATCGCGCTGCGCATGGACACCGGCGAGATCGCCTGGTACTACCAGGCCATTCACCATGAGGTGTGGGATATCGACCACGTGACCGGGCCGATCCTCTTCGACGCGACGCGCGACGGCCGGACGGTGCGCGGCGTGGGGGCGGGCGGCAAGAACTGCCTGATGTATATGTGGGACCGGGCGACCGGCAAGCCGCTCAATCCGATGGTCGAGACGGCCGTGCCGACCGAAACCGACGTGCCGGGCGAGCAGATCTGGCCCACCCAGCCGTTCCCGTACACCGCGCGCGGCGTGCCGATGGATCCATTCTGCGCCACCTATCCCATCGTGACCGACCCGGCGGACCAGCAGTGGGTGCGGCAGCTCTACACGCCCTATTCGATGACCCACGGCTACATCGTGGCGCACGGCGGGTCGAGCTGGGGGCCGCCGTCGTTCTCCCCGCGCACGGGGTTGCTGTACATGACCGGCAAGGACGGGTCGATCGCGCTGACCGTGCGGCCGGTCGGCGATTCGATAGAGGTCGGCCAGGGGCGCGGCGGCATGACGTCTCAGGTGGGATCGAAGCGTGACCAGATGCCGCCGGAGCTCACGCTCACGGCGTACGAGCCGGTCAGCGGCGAGTTGGTCTGGCAGGCCCGCGCGCCTACCCGCTCCGCAATCGGCGTGAGCGGCAACCTGGCCACCGCGGCGACCTGGTGCTGCAGGGGACCGATACGGGCCAGTTCTACGCCTTCGACGCGCGGACGGGCGAGCAGCTGTTCGAGTACGTCAGCGACAAGCCGGTGCGCTCCAGTCCAATGACATATCAAGTGGACGGCCGGCAGTACATCGTGGTGGTCGCCAGCAACGAGATCCTGGCGTTCGCCCTCCCGGCATCCTGACGCAGCGGGCCTCAGGCAACGCAGGGACTGACCAGTGGAACGAGGAGAGAGAATGTCCAAGAGCGACCGCACGTCCCGTCCGCCGGCTCGCGCGAGGTTGCGAGCGCCCGTGCTGCTGGCCGCCGTCGGCGTCTTCGTGGGCGGCGGCGCGCCCGCCGCGGGACAGCAGACGACGGGCGCCGATGCGCGGCGTGTATTCGCCCCGGTGCCGGTCAGCCTGCGCGTGCTGGCCGACACCGTGTACCAGGCCACGGGGAACGGGAACAGCCACCTGATCCACACGTCCGAGGGCAACGTGGTGTTCGACACCGGCAACGCGTTCGCCGGACAGGCGGACGATCACTACCGCCTGCTGCGGGACGCCGCGCCTGGACCGATCCGCTACGTCATCTACAGCCATTCCAACCCGGACCATATCGGCGGCCATCGGTACTGGGCCACCGAAAACCCCGAGTTCATCACCCACCGCGAATTCGAGGAGGAACGCAGGTACACGCGGGCGCTGGGGGGCTTCGGGGGACGGCGCGTGGGGCGCATTCGGCAAGGCCTGACGGTGCGGCCGCGCCCCGCGGAGCAGCGTTCGCAGCCCCGCAGCACCGAACCGCCGCCGCCGGCTGTACCGCTCACGCCGGACATCCTGGTCGGCGATGGTGACTACGCGTTCGAGCTGGGCGGCGTGCGGTTCGAAGTGCTGGACACGCCGGGAGGCGAAGGGCCCGACAACGTCTCGCTCTGGCTGCCGCAGCAGCGGATCCTGTTCACGGGCGACACCCTCGGTTTCCTGTGGGAGGGATTTCCCAACCTCTTCACGATGCGCGGCGAGAAGACCCGCAAGCCCGTCGAATACATCCGCACGATCGAACGCCTCATCGCGCTCGAGCCGGACATGGTGGTGCCGGGCCACCATGATCCGATCAGGGGCCGGGACAACGTGCTGAACGGCCTGCGCAAGGTGCGCGACGCCGTGCGGTACGTGCACGACGCGGTGATAGCCGGAATGAACGGGGGCAAGACGGTGCACCAGGTGATGGCCGAGGTGACGCTGCCGCCCGAGCTGGACCTGCACCAGGGGCACGGCAAGGTGTCGTGGGGGGTGAAGAGCATCTGGGAGTACTACGGCACCTGGTTCCACTTCGACAGCACTGCGGAGCTGTATCACGTGCCGGCGCGCGACGTTTACGAAGAGCTGGCCGAGCTGGCCGGTACGGACCCCCTGCTGGCGCGGGCCAGACAGCACCTGGACGGCGGCCGCCCGCTGCACGCGCTGCACTTCATCGAGGTGGCCCTGAGCGGGGCGCCTGAGGATGCCGCGGCGCTGCAGTTGTACGTCGAAGTGCATGAACGGCTGCTGACCGCGTCCGAAGACGCGGACAACGCCTACGAGCAGGGCTACCTGCAAGCGGTGATCACCGAGACCGAGGAGGCGCTGGAGAACCTGCAGTCCGGACGTTAACCCTCACGAAGTCGCGGAGAGGAGGATGGGAATGATGCGTTCGATGACAATCGCGCTGCTTGCCGTGTGTTGCGCGGCTGGACTTGCCGCCGCACAGGCCGATGTATCCGGCGGCTGGTCGGTCACGACTGAGAATCCCCAGGGAACCAACACGCGCTCGATGGAGCTGGAACAGGACGGGAACACGCTCACCGGCACCACGACTGGTGACAACGGCGCAACGGCAAGCGTCAGCGGCACAATTTCGGGCAATAAGGTGGAGCTGACCTACGACGTGCCCGCGGGGATCACGGTCACCATGACGGGAACAGTGGACAGCACGTCCATGCGCGGCTCGGTCAACTACGGCGGGCAGGGCGAAGGAAGCTTCACGGCGCGCAAGAACTAGCCGCTGGAGACCGGTGCCGAGGTGCAGCGTCCCATGAGCTCGAAACTCGCCGTGGCGGCGGGCCTGCTGGCCCTGATGGTCGTCGCGGGCGCGGTCGCCGGCGCGCAGCCGGGAGCGGCCGAGAACGGCCCGGGCGCCACCCGCGAGCAGTTCGAGCGGTGGATGACCGAGCTCTCCAACTGGGGCCGCTGGGGCGCCGACGACACGCTGGGCGCCGCCAACCTCATCACGCCGGCAAAGCGCCTCGAGGCGCTCGCGCTGCCCGAGACCGGCGCCACCGTCTCGCTCGGCCACGATCTGATGGATGACCTGGGCGGGCCACTGTTCGGCTCGCCATTCGCACTCGACATGATCATCAACCGTGATCCCCCGCAGGTCAGGGACCGGCTGAATCTCGACTACCACGGCGTGTTCTTCACCATCTGGACGCGCTCTGCCACATGGTCCACGACGGCCGGATCTACAACGGCCACGACTTCCAGGAGACGGTCACCGAGGGCGGCTGCGCCCGGTTCGGCATCGAAGGGCTCCGGGATGGCGTCGTCACGCGCGCGGTCCTGATCGACGTCCCGCGCCTGCGCGGCGTGCCGTACCTCGAGCCGGGCACACGGATCTACTCCGACGACATTGAAGCGTGGGAGAAGATGGCCGGCGTCCGCGTCGGCGCGGGGGATGCCCTGCTCGTGCGGACGGGCCGCTGGGCGCGCCGCGCCGCGCTCGGCAACGACCAGGGCTGGGCCGGCATGGATGCGTCGTTCCTGCCGCTGCTGGCCGAGCGGGACGTCGCGCTGTTCGGCAGCGACACTGCCCACGAGATCGGACTGAACAACATTCCGGACCTGCCGCTCGCGGTCATCCACAAGTTCGCCATCGTCGCGCTGGGCATGAACCTGCTCGACAATCTCGACCTCGAAGCGGCCGCCGAGACCGCCGCACGGCTGGAACGCTGGGAGTTCCTGCTGATGGCCAGCCCCGTCCGCGTGCCGCGCGGCACCGGCTCCCCCATCAACCCGATCGCGGTGTTCTGAGCGCGGGCGAGCGGGTCGGACGAGCGCGCGGAGCGGCAAAGGAGCAAGGGCAGATGACAGTGCGACACATGATCGGGCTGCTGGCGCTGGCTGGAACCATTGCGCCTATAGCGGTGGCCGCTCAGCCGGCCGCGACCGAGCCGCCGCGGACGCCGTGGGGCGACCCCGATCTGCAAGGCTTCTGGAACAACAACAGCGCCGTGCCGCTGGAGCGGCCGGCGAATCTCGGTGAGCGGGATACGTTGACGGCCGAGGAGGTCGAGCAGCGCGCCGAGCAGCGCCGCAACCTGCTCGTCGGCCGCCGGGAGGGCGATAATCCGCTCCTACAAAGCCTCACACAAAAACGATTTTCGGTTCGAGCATGGACAGGACAACGACCGCCCTTCCCTGATTGTCGACCCGCCGGACGGACGCCTCCCGCTCACGCCGGAGGCAGGAAAAGACTGGGCCAACAGCATGGGACTCTTCTTCCGGGTGCTCCGGGGACCGGGCAGCCACCTGGACTTCAGTCTGTGGGATCGCTGCATCACCCGCAGCATGCCGGGCACGATGATTCCGAGCTCGTACAACGCAACTACCGGATCCTGCAGACGCCGGACCACGTCGTGCTGCTCGTGGAGATGATCCACGACGCGCGCATCATTCCGCTCGACGGACGGTCGCGCCCGCCGCAGGGCGTCCGCCAGTGGCTGGGCAGCCCGCGCGGCCGCTGGGACGGGAATACGCTGGTGGTCGAGACGACCCACTTCACCCCAAGGGCAAGCAGCGCGGCATCGGCCGCACGGTGCTCGGCACGGGCGAGAACCTGCGCCTGACCGAACGCTTCACGCGCGTGAGCGACGACACCATCGACTACCGCTTCACCGTGGAGGATGCCTCGTTGTTCACGCAGCCGTGGACGGCCGCGATTCGGATGAACCAGGTGGAGGGACCGCTGTTCGAGTACGCGTGCCACGAGGGGAACTATGCGCTCCCCAACATGCTCAGGGGCGCGCGCACAGCGGAATCGGATGCGAAGTAGAACCGTTTGTCTCGCGCTCGCGCTCGTGACCGGGCTGGCGGCGCCCGGTCTGGCGCAGCCGCCCCAGCCGTGGCGCGGCTATGTCAGGTGAATGATGCCGCGGCGCACGGCCACCGCAACGGCCGACGCGCGATTGCCGACATCGAGCTTGGCGAAAATGTGCTTGACGTGGGCATGCACCGTCTCGGTGGCGATACCGAGGCTGGCGGATATCGCCTTGTTCGTCAGGCCCCGGCCCATCAACTCGACGATTTCCGTCTCGCGTGCCGTCAGCACGCGGCTGTCAATCCGCCGTGCAAGGCGCGCGGCAACCTCGTCCGGCACCGGACTGCGTCCGGCGTGAACCTCGCGAATGACGCGAATCAGCTCCTTGGTGAGCGTGTCTTTCAACAGATACGATGCGGCGCCCGCCTGCATGGCGCGGAACACGACTTCCTCCTCGTCGCGCATCGTCAGGACGATTACGCGGGCCTCCGGATCCACGGTCTTGATTGCCCGAATGGCGTCCAGCCCGTCCATCCCGGGCAGCCGCAGGTCCATGAGCGTGATGTCCGGGCGGTGGCGCCGGAACAGGTCGACACCCTGTTCACCGCTCGCCGCCGACGCCAGCACGGTCATGTCGCGCTGCAACCCCACGATCAGCGCGATGCCCTCGCGCACCACGGCGTGGTCGTCGACACAGAGGACGCGGATCGGCGCCTCGCGCGAAGGCACCGGGATCATTCCGTTTCCACGAGCGGCGCGGTTATCTCGACGCGTGTGCCCCGGGAGGGGACGCTAACCAGCTCGAGCGCCGCCCCGAGCTGGGCCGCACGCTCCCGCATGCCGGCGAGTCCCCAGTGGCGTGCGGGCTCCCGCTCGACCTGCTCGGTATCGAACCCCAGGCCGTCGTCGCGTACGCAGACGCTGACCGAATCGTCGTCGTACGACAACTCCACGGCGATCTCGTTCGGCCTGGCGTGTTGCACGGCGTTGCTGATTGCTTCCCCGCTGACGCGCAGCAGCTGGTGCTTTAGCTGGGGGGCGCAGCGCCGCGGAACGCCGCGCACCCGGAGCGTGAACAGGGCCGGCGTGCCCGCGGTGAGTCGTTCGCCCAGCGCATCGAGTGCG